AATAAGGTTAGTAAGGTACTGTTTTGTGTCTAAATAAATAATCTTATTTAGGATGGATGTAGGTCTGATTATCTAGAGTTAGTGATTGACAACAATGGTTTTATTTGGTGATGAACAGTACAGGCTAAGAAAACCTGGGCCTGTACACCATGCCAGATTTATGGCAAAGGGAATATACTTTCTGAAAATGTATCTCCTTCTAAACAATATTTCTAGCTTGACAGATTTTGAGAAGAAAGAAATAAATGATATTGCATTCTTCGCAGCTGTATTTTACACTGAGTGGTTTATAAAGGCTGAAATTCCAGCTGTCGCTCCATATCAGGTGACATTTCTATGTTTTAAAAGTTTTTAATCATTTTGCTTTTTTTTCTTTGAAAATTTTGTGTAATATTTCATAGTCTAAAAATCTTTAGGATATAAAAGCTCTTTGGCAGATGATGAGATACTCAAAAATCAATCCTGTCCAGGCATAACCTGTTATAGAGTCTCTAAAGAGACACACCTGATACATAGACCCAAATATTTTAGTTATGTCTCTTGTTGACAAAAATGTACAAGAACGGAGTGACATTGCCAAGAAGTTGTACTCAACCCCAAGACCTACAACTTATGCCATAGAAAGACATCAAGTTAATTTAAATATACTGAACTCCCTTATGTTTAATGATGATACTCCCCCAAGTTTGACCCCGTTTATAACTGACCAGAGTTGGTTAATTTTTCATATCTTAAACCATGCAAATGCTGAAGTACAGTGGCTTAAGACTCCATCTGAGACATGGGGTCTAAATGACTATTACTTAGAATTCAAACAATTTGTGAATAATCTTGAAGTCGTAAATGACTGTAGTGAGAGGGCTATAAAACTAGTTCAGGTAACTATTTTATATATTTGGTCCTTAATGTTTATGTTAAAATCTTAATTTGTTTTACAAGCTCATTACTTTTAAATATTCTTTAATAGGAGTTGATCAATAAATCGCATAATGAGGATAAAAGACAAAGTACCTTCCTCGTATCAAACAAATATAAGAGTAAAAGAACAATTAAAAAAAAATGTGGTTATGTAAAGAATTCTTTGTTTACAAAATAAATTTATAAACATGAACTATGTTTGACAACTAATTTCTTCAGAAACTAATCATAAATATGATTTTATTATGTAAATATAAATATTTTAATACGTAAAGTATCTTGTTAATAAGCAGAACACTAATATAGTGCAAAAAAGCTTAAAAATGCCTTTTTTTTTAATTTTTTGGTCTTCATTGTTTAAGTAAAAAAAAAAAAAATTAAGCTTAACATTATATTTTTATTTCCTTCAAAAATATAAAACAACAAAAAAAAAAAAAAAGAAAAATTAATTTGGATAATGGTAACACTCCCCCTCAGCTAGTCCGAAATATGGGCAAAAAACGGGCAAAAAATGACCTTTGGGCTCATTGAGGGAAGTCATGGAGTGATCTAATCATGAAAAAAAAAATTTATTAGTAATATCAAGGTTGGGGCACCTTATGAAAAGCAATTTTAGTTGAAATTCAAAAAAGTCATTTTTTTGGAACACCCTAATATATATATATATATATATATATATATATATATATATATATATATATATATATATATATATATATATTATTATATATATATATATATATATATATATATATATATATATATATATATATATATATATATATATATATATATATATATATATATATATATATATATATATATATATATATATATATATATATATATATATATATATAAATGTATACATATATATATATATATATATATATATATATATATATATATATATATATATAAATATATATATATATATATATATATATATATATATATATATATATATATATATATATATATATATATATATATATATATATATATAAACATGAATATGTCTATATATGCAACTTTCTGAACAAGAGAAACTAAATACAGAAAACTTTTAATGCAAAGGTATCACAACAGAGAAACAAGGCTGGCAATAAAAAAACCTCAGGCACTTAGATTGGTGGTTAGGTTGTAATAGTACTTTCCTTAATTCTAAGGGCGGTATGCAAGTATAACAATAATCTCTTTAACTATAAGTGAACCAAATAAAAAATTTATTACTTGTAAATGTTGTTATATCTTCAAGTGACAAAATTCCACAATAATTTCTTGATCTAAATATCAATATTTATAAATAATTAAAACTAGAATTTATAAAACAAAGAAAAAGTAAAACAATAGGTTATTACTATCAATTGTTTTGTTCATAGTATACACACTAAAAATAAATAAAAACTATAAATATAAATGCATAAAAATAAATCTTAGACAACTAATACAGTGCAGCAAGTATTGTTAGTAGAGTGAAAAAAGCAAAAATAAACTTTAGAAAAAAGAGAAAATTTTAGTCTTTACGCAATACACTATATAGTACATACTATAGTACATATATAGTACATATAGTACTATATAGTACATATATAGTACATACACCGCAATACACTATATAGTACACAGTAATAAATAATATACAGTAATAAATATTGTTATGGCAATAATTTGCAAAATTTTTTACCTATCTCTTGCGCTTTCACACACAAGAAAGACGTTATTGAAATGAAGCAGTGAAAATTTATCGCCAACAAATTTACGGTTTCTGGCTAAAAACAAAAACAAATGCAATTATAAATAAGCGACTGACTGCTTATACATGGTTTTGTTCACATGGTACCTTGTCACTTTCGGTAAGTATAGGTTACCATGGTACTTGGTTATATGATTTTACTTATTAGAACTTATGATTATTTTGACTGCCTCTTCAAGGATCAAATTTTTATTTTATGCCTAAAAGTAAATAAAAATATAACATTTATTCAATATATATCATATGTAACCTTTATATTTTTAAACTGACTTAAGCTTATTTGAATAAAATTTCACTATACTATACTTTCATACAAAAACATACCTTAATGGTTTGTAATATACATACTTAAAAAGGTTTTTTTGTATATTAAAACTCTGTATTGAATTTCTTTAAAGAAAACAAATTAGGAAATAAATCCTTTTTGTTACCAAAGATTTGAATTGAATTATATAGAAGTAAATGCTACCAACACTTTTAACCTTATATTTTGAACCTTAACTTCATGTGGTGAGATTGAGATGATAAGATTGAGATGATAAAATTGACATATAGAGATTTAGGTAATGAAACTGAGATGATAAAGATGGAGATTAGGAGGTCGAGATGATGATATTGAGATGATGAATTTTGACTCACCATAGGTTATGGTTAACTAAATTACAAGTTTTTATAGCAACTTGAATTGTAAACCTTTCATAACCAAAACTAATCTTTTACTTAATCTATTTTTAAATGAAAGAGTAAACAAAGTTTTTTTAAATATCCAGCCTGTAATTGCATTTAAACAATCATCTAATTTGTTAAGAATACTGACCTCTGCAAAGTTCCAATTTAATCAAAAAAGAAATAGGATTATTTAAAGATAATCGTTTTAATATATACAAACCTTTGAGTAGTTTACCTTCAAGAAGTTATCTACCTTTAAAAAGTAAAAAGATTTACAACATCAAGTTGTTCCTTACCTACCTTTAAGAAGTTAAAACATTTACAACATCAAATGGTTAAGTATGGAACATAAAGAGTCATATAACTTGCAATAGTAAAAAGGTAGTATACTATTTAAAATGTCTTGCAACATTTAAAAATCTTGCAACATGAAAACTACATACACCGGAAAAACTAATAAATTAGGACTCCGTACAAATTGACATATTTCTAGTTGTAGAATCGGAAAATCAAGATAAATTTGATAATCATGTTTACAAAACATGACGCTTTTAATTGACGTTACCTGTTTAAAATCAAATAAAAAATTAACTAGAATATTTATAAAGATTAAACTATGGATAATTATCATTTCCTGTTTAAAAATAAGAAAATATTATTTTGATAACATAAATAGCACTACTGATGATGTAAATATTATGTGGTAGTGGTGTAGTTGTAAAACGTTTGCTCTATAGGCGAGACGTTCTGAGTTCAATTTCCACCACGTCCCTGGTAGTACCGCGCTCAACTTGTTTCTCCGCGTTGCGGCCTTGTTTGTCTTGGTTCATGTTTCAGAGTTATAGAGTTGATAGAGGGTTATAAATACTATTAAGTAGCATCCACATCTGTAGTTGCCTTCTCGGCCTTAAGGAGGTGAATAACAATATTGACAGTAGATGAACCCAGATAATATCCAGGTATTATCTGGATTCATTTTCTGTCTTGTAGAAATCCTCCTAGACAAAAACTTAAGGGTTGAGCAAAATAATTCTGTTCATAAGCCTTACATCAATCAATATTTAGTCTAGCACTGATGTAAACTTATCTTACATTTATTTCTACCTTGGATATTGAATGTTCAAACTTCATGATTCTATTCATAGATTTTTGCTTTTACATCCTTGATAGTAGCTATGCAACTCTATCAGTTATTTTATAATTAGAGTACAGCTTTAAAACTCAATTTAATAGTTTTGAGGCCTGCTGGTTGTAAGGTTTCCTTACAACCAGCAAGCCTCGTGCTGATTCCATTAACAACTGCAAAACAACTGCAAAATATTAAAGTATTAGCAGTGCTATGTTGCGGATGGATGGTGTACTTGTGATTTAGGTGTGCATTGTCAAGCCAACATTAGAAAATCTATTTTACAACTTTGGTCTTAATTAGCAAAACTGAAGCAATTGTATAGCTAATTACTTTGATTACTATGCTCTATCTTAGATTGAGCTAAGTTCTCCTTATCTTAAATCGTGACTATAGTTTCAGGCTAATTGCAATAAAATATTATTTGATACCAGGTTAAACTTGGCAGTATCTTCTTTGGATCTCAGCATTGATAAATATTATACTTGATTTGCAAAGACTCCAATAGTCACTTGCTTGGCTTGGGCATACACTTATCCATCAGTTTACTTATTTGACAAGAAATCGGGTTAGAATCCTCTGACACTTATTTAATATGCTTTTGCTCGCAACCTTTTCACCCTATCACCTTGCAAATTATTTTTCTCATTATTTTTCTTTATGCTGTTATACTCTATCTATGACTTTATCTATGATTGATTTAAACTCTCTTTAACTTAAATTCTGACCATCAAGAGCCCATAAATATTAAATATAAAAACACTACCACTTAACCATTTCAATATATCGTTCATAATTATTTGTCGCTTTTAAAGTAATTTTAAATCAGTTGAATCATACTTCTTGCAAAAGATACCAGACTTTGTAGTTCTTTGTGAGACAATATTAAATTTTGCTGCTTCTTAAGATCTCAGAATTGATGGTTATTACCCTTAAATTAATAAAGGCTTTAATAATCACATGCTTGGCTTAGGCATATACTTAAGCATCAATTCACCTATTTGTTCAGAAAATAGATTTGAATCCTCTGGCCATTGTTTTATGTGCTTCTACTTAGCACATCTTTACTTCATTACCTTTCACTCTATTTTTTATTGTTCTCCTTCATCTCAAGACTAAACTCTTTAAGATGTGTAAATACAACAATGTAAATGTAAATACAACAATGTAAATGTAAATACAACAATGTAAATGTAAATGTAAATACAACAATGTAAATGTAAATGTAAATACAACAATGTAAATGTAAATACAAATATGTAAATGTAAATACAACAATGTAAATGTAAATACAACAATGTAAATGTAAACACAACAATGTAAATGTAAATACAACAATGTAAATGTAAATACAACAATACTAGGAAATTTGCAAAAAATATCAAACAATTAGGGTCGGCATCAAATTGGCAAAATAAAGTTTGACACAAAGGTGTTACCATAAAACATAGAAACAAGGTCGGCAATTTTTTCCCATCTTAAAAAAATTTAAGTGCCTCAAGCGCTAAAAATTTTTCAAGATTCAATTATACTAATGATTTCATAAAACATTGTTTATTTTACGGTAAAAATCATTTTTTTTATGAAAGTGTTTATGTAGCTCATGTATAAATTCTAACAGTTTCCATTTGTAGTCTGAGTAAATTGAATAAAATTAAAACTTCTATTGCTTCTATTCCACTCTTTAATATGTGCGGTTTAATACTTACTAATAATAGCGTATTTCTATTGTTCTTTATGTAAACAATCAAACAATTGAAATATCTGTCGCAATATGCATTTTTTTTATAAGCATATGATATTTTTAATATAATTTATGTTTCATAAAGTTACCAACAGCTTAAATTAAAAACAATAGTTTACAATAACAGATCTAATTAAAAGATGTAAAGATAAAATAAGAATAATTAAAATTAAACTTTACCATACATAAAGAAATTTATTTTGCATTGTCTTCCCAATGTAGTGTATTTTTTTAAAATACATGTTAAAAATGCTCAGTAAGACTAAACATTATGTTCATTTTATATCAAATTATTTTTAACAAAATCTACTTCCACCTACCATGTTATAGGGAAGAGTTAAATAGCAAGGGGGAGTAGATTCAATGTTTAAATTTATTGATTGAGTTGTTTTAATTGTGGGAATATGTGAAGATACCTTCAAGTTAGCATAGACTGGGGGAATGATCATTAGATTTAGGGGTGGGGTAGGGGTAGTAATTTTTATTTTTAACTTTTTAATTTTTACGCAATCATTATTTTCACATTTTTATATCCTGTTTACAGTAGAGAACTGGATTACAAATTACTGTGTAGTGTTTACTGAATTTTGTTTTAATGCTATACTGTATTTTTTAAATTGTTTTTTGCTGTTTTTCCATCAAACAATAGTTGTTACTGAATACTTAAAAGCAGAATACTTGTAAGACAGGACAGGTTAATATGAAACCGCCACCTTTTTAGGTGCCACAAGAAGACCTAACAGTCTTGTCACAAAGCACTGTGGAAGTGCATTTTACCAGGAAGTTCACGCCTCTTTTGTTACTGTGACACGAAAAAAATGGTTCAGAATTCGTTTCGAACCTAGATCTCCTGCAAATAAAGCAAGCGCTCTAACCACTGCACCAAGCCTTTTTTTTTAAGGTATAAAATATATAGCAATGATAAGATGGTATTTTGAAAATCCTGAAAATCATTCAGTCTTATTTTTTCTCTTTTTGAACGCTGCTTAAAAGATAAAATACAAAGTTGTTATGGATTTTTTATTATTATTATTATTATTATGGATTTTTTATTTTATATTACCTAAATTTATAAATTTTATAACGTTTTTTAAATGAATTCAATTCCTCAAGGCTGAGAAGGCCATTACAGTCAAGAAGACTACTTTTTTTTTCTTTTTTTTTTTTTAAAGTTGTAATTATAACATTCTCTCAACTATACAACTTTGAAACACGAACCTTGACAAACAAGATCACTGTCAGGCAAAGAAATTGAATGCGGTCCAACCATGGATGTGATCGTTCGGAACTCAGAACATCTCGCTTACAAGGCTGGCCTATATCAATTTATCGCTACTGCATTGGTAGTGGTTTATATTAGTCATATACATTAGTAATATAAATTCAAACTATTTTAACAGTGACTTCTCTTATGCAAGAGTGACAGTATGAACTAATAAAAAATTATTTAAAAAAGGAAATTTGATTGTTGATACTA